TTTCCCTTCAAAATGCCTAATAATCTCAATGTTTCAAGGGTGTTGGTTGTAACCATATTGATCTAAGGATATAGGCAGACAAGGTTCTTTGGGTAAAGCTGATATCTTGTATTAGACCAATTAAAATAGTTGGAAAAATTCTTTTTTGCAAGCTTTTGGGTACAAACATCCTTCTTCAGGCAGAGGGTAAAAGATATCAGATTTACCCAAAGAACCTTGTCTGCCTAATAATCTCAATAGGCTTTGAATCATCTCCCACATGTTCCTAGAGGTTTTCATTCAGTTCCACACACATACACTTAAAAGGACTCCTGATGTACTATAAACACGATTTCAAGTTACCTATATTTCCGGTCACACAGTACATTTTTTTTTAGAATCTTTATTTTCCCCAAAAGAAAGCTAACATTTAATATAGTTAATAACTGATGACTAATTCAAAACATATTCATTGCAAAGTCATTAGTTTTAGGCCAGTTAGATGGTGCTATGAACATTTATAGCACTTCAATGCTCAATACCTTGAATCAGGATTTTAATTCCCATCTGCAGTGTCCAACTCATAAAAAAGACCCATAAAAAGCAATCTGAAAGTTATTTATGCATGCCAATTTCATGATGCCATTTCTGATGTGCACAGCAGGGTACTATGTACATATGTTTTCAGTTCAACTAATATCAAAAAGCAGCAGACAGGAAGCATCTGAGAACACCCACTGCAGTAACATAACCAGTCCAGAAGTACTAGAACATTTTGCAAAAAATTGTTTAAAAGAAAAAGTGATATGGTCAAATGAGAACCGAGTACAAAGACAGTTTAACTTAACTACAGATCTTATTCACTTTTATATTTTGATTAACTGATCCCAAGGTCTTAACTGCCTCATTCTCTCTCTCCCCACTGTAATGAATAACTTTGTAAATCTGTGCCTAGCAACACCCAATCAAAACAGCAAAGTCTGCAACTTAATCTCTTATCTGAAGTGCTTCTTTAATGCACTCTGCCTTAGACAGAAAGCAGGCAGGAAATTAGTTATTTCAAAAACCAAAAAGGAAAGTTTGCTTACTAGCAGCAAAACAACATCTAAGCTAAAAACATCTCTTTTGATCTCCTCTGACGATCTCACCAGAACAGAGAAAAAGGAAAAAAAAGCACAGCTCAGCTGAAGTAAATTCAAGGCTCCATCATCTAGGCTGAAAATACATATTAGACAAAACCTGCAGGGTCATTCAGAAGTACAACACCACATTTCCATGAAATAAATGTGACCTTGGCGCTAGAATGTAAGGAACGATCACAATCCAACACAGCACCTTAAGGAAACACCTGGTGTCACACACACACCCCTCCAAACTATTTAGAAGCCTGCCACTCTCCAGAACACTGCCTGGACCAAGCAGTCATTTTCCTAGCGGTATCCCTCAAAATGCTGCTGCTAAAAGAATTTAACTTCTATGCAACTGGTGCAGAAAGCAGCATTCTGCAGCTTTGGATACAGTGAGCATCACCTCAAGAAAGCTTGAGATTTTATGACTCTGTGCACATATGCACACTTGTGACCACACATCTCCACACACACGCATGCTGGTGACCACACAAATCTACATGCACACATGACATGTGTGCACGTGACCAGATACATGTGTACACAAGCACACACATGTAAAGCTGCGAGTGTGTGTGTGTATACACACACACTCGCAAGGCTGTTCACACACACCACCGCATGGTTGTGATTTTGTACATGTGCATATGTGGGTGTGTGTGTGTACACATAGGCAGAAGGTTGTGTGTATATGTGCATGTGGCATGGTGCGTGTACAACTACCACCCCACACGCTGCCGTCAGTGTGCAAGGTGCCGCTGTCCCCTGCCTCCCGCCGAGCACGGGCGGGCGGGCC